CATGACAGGTTCGAAACAAGAAATTTAGTCTTAAAAAGAATATGTGAGGAAAAGAAATTGGAAGAAAAATCTTTATTTTAAACCTTCCCTCAGCCACAACATAATCACATGGTTGTGGCAGTCATAAACATTTTTCGAGTTATCAAATTATGAGTCTCTTTAACTTCATATACTTTATTTTAATTCACATTTAATGCTTATTTTAGTTACAAATATATTAAATAGGATTTTACTAGTTGAAATATTGATTTATTGATGGTAATAAAGGTACAATTATTAAAAGAATGAATTTTAAAATTTTGGAAATATAAAAAATTACAAAAATATTAGTATAAAAATTATATTTCAAGCCTTATTTATATTAAATATATTCTAGAAACCTATATTTTTGAATGAATATTCCAGAGGGGTCACCTAAGTTGACATCTTTGTTACAAATGGTGCACTGATATCTTGTTCTCTCTCTCTTGAGCCGCTCGGACGCACGTGCACGCTGAGGTAAGTGAGTGGTACAGGGAAAGAAGAGAGAACCAGATTACAATGAGGTAAGTAAGTGGTACAAGGACAGAAGAGAGAACCAGATTACAATGAGGTAAGTAAGTGGTACGAGGACAGAAGAGAGAACCAGATTACAATGAGGTAAGTGAGTGGTACAAGGACAGAAGAGAGAACCAGATTACAATGAGGTAAGTAAGTGGCACAAGGACAGAAGAGAGAACCAGATTACAATGAGGTAAGTAAGTGGTACAGGGAAAGAAGAGAGAACCAGATTACAATGAGGTAAGTAAGTGGTACAAGGACAGAAGAGAGAACCAGATTACAATGAGGTAAGTAAGTGGTACAAGGACAGAAGAGAGAACCAGATTACAATGAGGTAAGTGAGTGGTACAAGGACAGAAGAGAGAACCAGATTACAATGAGGTAAGTAAGTGGCACAAGGACAGAAGAGAGAACCAGATTACAATGAGGTAAGTAAGAGGCACAAGGACAGAAGAGAGAACCAGATTACAATGAGGTAAGTAAGAGGCACAAGGACAGAAGTGAGAACCAGATTACAATGAGGTAAGTAAGAGGCACAAGGACAGAAGAGAGAACCAGATTACAATGAGGTAAGTAAGTGGTACAAGGACAGAAGAGAGAACCAGATTACAATGAGGTAAGTAAGTGGCACAAGGACAGAAGAGAGAACCAGATTACAATGATGTAAGTAAGTGGCACAAGAACAGAAGAGAGAACCAGATTACAATGAGGTAAGTAAGTGGCACAAGGACAGAAGAGAGAACCAGATTACAATGAGGTAAGTAAGTGGCACAAGGACAGAAGAGAGAACCCGATTACAATGAGGTAAGTAAGTGGCACAAGGACAGAAGAGAGAACCAGATTACAATGAGGTAAGTAAGTGGCACAAGGACAGAAGAGAGAACCAGATTACAATGAGGTAAGTAAGAGGCACAAGGACAGAAGAGAGAACCAGATTACAATGAGGTAAGTAAGTGGCACAAGGACAGAAGAGAGAACCCGATTACAATGAGGTAAGTAAGTGGCACAAGGACAGAAGAGAGAACCAGATTGCAATGAGGTAAATAAGTGGCACAAGGACAGAAGAGAGAACCCTATTACAATGAGGTAAGTAAGTGGCACGAGGACAGAAAAGAGAACCAGATTACAATGAGGTAAGTAAGTGGTACAAGGACAGAAGAGAGAACCAGATTGCAATGAGGTAAGTAAGTGGTACAAGGACAGAAGAGAGAACCAGATTACAATCTCCTTCTTTCTTATCTCCACTCAATCATATTAGGGTGTCAGGCTTGTAAAGTTTGAGATTTGACAACCATCATGATTGGGTGAAGTAGAATGCGTCTGCCTTTGTCATTAAGACTGGGAGCACTACCCAGATTACAATGATGTAAGTAAGTGGCACAGGGAAAGAAGAGAGAACCAGTGATAAAAAATAGATAATTTATAATTGTATGTTTTATAAATTTTCCCCTATTATTATTATTATATATATATATTTTTTAATTTTATTTTTGTTACCTCCTTCTCTTAATGGGTGGAAAGGAATAAAGAATGAAAGGAGCAAAATTTGTCCCAAGGTGAGAGGCAAGCTGAGTCTGACGACACAAGACATCGCCCCCCCATCCCATGCGCGGTGACGGAGAGGAAAAAGAAAAAGGAACAACCGGCAGTACTGGTGTGTATAGGCTCGGGGGAAATATGAGCTCCCTGCCTCAGGAGGAATGAGTAGCCACGTTATCAAGAAACAAAGAAGATAAAGAGAAGAGAGTCATTATAGAATTGCGCACCAATTAAGTGGGTAGCAATATTGTTTTCCTGTTATGGAACTGAAGATATAATTAAGATATAATTTCAAGTGAAGAATTCTATAAGAACTCATGATCTGATTGATCGAAAGAATTGAAACAAGATTTATTTTTATAAACTCAAGAGAAACTTAGATAAGTATTTGTGAACTTTGAAAAAGATTTGCCTTTCCAACCCTAGTTACTTTTGCTCTCTACATCATTTGTTTGTCTGTATATTTATTTTGTACACTTATTTTTTCTAATTTTAAATATATCTAATTTTTTGGCCAATTTGATTATCACCCTTTTTATCTAATTTTTATTTTGATAACCAGTCATTTTGATAAGCAAAATAAAATATATTGATGCACTTTTTGTTATATTGTATTTTCACAACTTGTACAAACATTACTGGGTGAATCTCTATTTTTAATCTGGGTAAGATTGACCTTCCCCCATTTTTTTTTTAACTTCAACAACCAGATTACAATGAGGTAAGTAAGTGGCACAGGGACAGAAGAGAGAACCAGATTACAATGAGGTAAGTAAGTAGCAAAAGGACAGAAGAACCCCTAGAGCTACTGACTAACCAGAGAAGGTGTCATCTCCCAGCTGTGACTGCATCTTTTTCCAGAGGGAGATACACTTCTCAAAGGACTGCAGGTTAGTTAGGTCATAGGCAAGTACAAGCAGACCAGGCCGGTGGCACTGGCACAGGGTGTCAAGTTAGCCAAGGAATATTCACACAGGGTGTCCATCACTCACCAGCTTCCCCACCAGATCCTGGTAGAGGTCAGCTCCAGGCAGGTCATACAGGTAGAGCTCCTGCATCAATCTTATTTGTTATATATTTTGTTTTCTGTAAGCCAACATAAAATATAACCATGTATGACCGTCACTATTTTTACCAAGTAAAAAATATATAATGGAAATTTCTGTAGAAGTTGGGGAAACAAGATATAATAAAAGTCACTCAATCTAGAAAAAAACATGTGCTATATTGATACAGTTTATTTAATTTAATATATTTCAGTTGGTGAATATGCCTCAACAATACAATCTTTGACAAATTGGTAAATACAAATTTTAATTCTTGTAATTTTCCCTTTAAACTTGAAACTAATTTTGTATAACTGGGTAAGTTTATAAATAACCGGAGATAGTTAGTTGTCCTTGATTCCATCTCTACCAAGCTTTTCTCTTTGTTAGCTCAAATCGGGGTCATTTATCCCCCCAAAAAAAATCACTAGATAGTACCATGTTATTTGGATTAGAAATTCAAACTTTTACAATCCAACCTGTACAATTTGTTTAGTTAGCTCAAACAAGCAGCCAATTTAAAACTTCAATATCTAAAAAATTAGTAAAGGGGCTATACTCCCCACACAAACAACATTTCTTTAGTGTTGTGGATAAACTAGGTGGGCGACTAAACAGCTGTTCTCACTCAAGTGTTTGACCCACACAGTGATAACTGAGAATATGTTTGTGATGACAAGTTAGGATTATTTAATTTGAAAACAAATATTGCCAGAAATTCAGTGTGCTACAGAGAAACATTGTTTCATGACCACAGACAGGTGCCAACTTTGCAGCTAATTATTATCGACCCTTTGACTAACCTCTCATTGTATTCCACAACATGTATAATTATGTAATTTTCATGAAATAATCCCATAGGAATAAATAGTGATCTACAGCATAAACATGACTTCCAACCACCGATGACAAGGAGTGACACCCCTGAATGGAAAGGACTTTTACCAAATTTAATGAATAACTAAATGATAACATATATTTCAGTTATTCAATATAACATCTACATAAATAAAGAAACTTTCACATCCAAACCACCCATCTAGGGTTGAGTAAAAAAAGGGATAAAATGGTAAAAAAAAAAAAAAAGTAGCTATTGAGCTAGCTTAACTATCACACACACACACACACACAAAAGCCTTTATTAAGACACACAGGTCTTACAGAGGATTCTCCTTGGGGTTACAAGACGGGGAAACCTATGAAAGTGGGAAATAAAAAATGGAGAAAGATTATATACATATGGTAAATATATACAGATTATAAGAAAGAATAAAAAATAAGAAAAAAAAAATTTGGAAATATGGATGGGAGAAGTGGAGAGCGAAAAGAGGAAAGAAAACAGGTATTTACATATGGAACAAGTCAATTCAAGCTCTTCTGCTCACACAGCACAGGTGGGCCATGGCTATTTCAAGAAATCTTTAAGAGATTTTCCAGGAAAATCCAAGTGTTCAGGGTTGTAAGGTAAACACCGTTTTATCAGTGTGGGGGGTTAACTTATCGTACCTGCCTAAACAAATAATTGGATATTGGCTCTGTCCTTCTCATCAAACAGAAATTTTTGGTATGTTTGGATGTTCGGTTAAGTCTTTCTTTTTTACAGCATTTTTATGGAAGCTATATAGATTCAGAGCTACTGAACTATCTCTATATATATAAAAGTCAATTTCTGTCTGTCTGTTTCGCGATAAACTCAAAAACTACTGAACCAATTGGTACCAAATTTTGCATGTCGCTTTTTATAAACCTGAGGAAAATTTTCGGCTGCATTTTGATTAGTATTTTTGGCCATTTCTTTTTTTCATTTGAAGAACTTTTTTTTACGCGGACTAATCCGGAAAGGAATGAATACCTAAATATGGCCATTTTTTTAAAGCATTGGTGGTTCAGTGGTAGAATGCTCGCCTGCCACGCGGGCCACCCGGTTCGATTCCTGGCCGATGCATTTTTTTTTTACAATTTTTAAAACTCATTTATAATATATATAATATAAATATATATTATTATATCAACTATATTAATTAAATCAAATACCTAAACACTAATATGATACAATTTTTGCCATCACACACACTTTTTTCCTGTAGTTAATGTGTTACTTCTGTATTGCTATTCTATGGCACTTCTAATATTTATTATTGATATACTTTTAGTATGAAGGAAATTGCACCCAAGGGATTTCTCGGGCGAAGCCGGGTCATTCGCCTAGTTGTCTATAAAGTTGGATAATAAAGAATATAATGTGAGGTGTGTATGGCCTATCTTAGAAAAGAGTATTTTTCTTTCCGTGTCAAGAGGCATGCATTCAAATATATAATGTTCTAATTCATTTTCGGTTCTATTTTTGCATAGTTGGCAATACAAGTCTTCTGTCCTTAGATATTTTATATGGTCTTCTCGATATAAAACAAATAGAATTCTCAATTGCGCAATGAGGCGTTTAGTCGGCAGTAGCTTAACTATCTAGATATGATCCTTTTGGATTATCCTTTTAAAATCCAAATTGTGTTGGTGTGACTTATCCCAAGTTCAAAAGGCAACCATGGTAGTGACCGCTTTTTACTCACACTTTTGAACACTTTTATTCACGCTTTGCACATGCACCACTTCATATCTACATATGTAGAAGGCAGTCGACCTTGCACTTAAAAGGGTATCAGAGTACTATTTGTTACTTGTACTCACTGGTGGGGTTGGACTTATACAAGCCATAGGCTAGGCAAATCAATTTCTTATTTTTTAAAATGAAAACTTCTCAATGTGGGGAATTCAATCCCAAGTAAATGAGGAAGGCCAACGTGTTGTAGGGAAACAAAATAAACATTTGTACAAAGGTCTAAGGAATTAGGTGAAAGAGAGATTGAACGGAGAAAAAGTGTCCTATTGAGATGACTTGTTTTACATATGTACATGTTTCAGGAAACTAACCATAATTTTTTTTTAGTTAAAGTGTTTTAATTTAGATCACCAAATACCCCGCTAAAATTAACCAGGGCAAATCTTCCATTATAATGAACCTAAGGTAATCCTCAATTCCATTCCATTGAAAATACCAATGCAATAACAAAGATTGATATATTTTTTTTAAATTATGAACTACCCCTTAAAAAAACCTAAATTCAAGTCCCAAAATAATAAATATTTTAGTTAAAATACTAGGCTTATATCAAACTTTAAATTAAATTGATCAATTTTTTAAACAGCAAAATTTTGAGCATATTTCAGCTCACAGATCACAATTTAAAAAACAATAAATTTGGGGGCTTACACGCTCTATTTTTTTGCCATATATTATGGAGGGGTTTTACTGTACATGTAACTAGAGACAATTTAAGAAAAATATCCTCTTGCCTTTATGATAAGGCACAATTTTATTATTTATTGGGATTTGGTCTGATTACCTTGTGTCTCTTGCCTTTATATAATTGCATTATAATCACATTTCTACTTCTTACCAATCATATGAACCATTTATTAAATAGAAAAACATTTTTTGGCACAATTTTTTTTTTTTCCAATAAAAAGCGTTTTCATCTCAAATATACAGAAGGTGCTATGTGTGATTTCCATAAGAATCATTTGTTTCAATCATTGATCTCTTTGCTAGTCCCAGTTTTTACTGGGTTACACCTTTGTAAGGACCAGAACAGGCTGTTACCCACGACATCTGAAGTATCAGGGATGTTGACATTCTTCACCTTGACTTGGGGCTCCGAGGTCTGAACACAAATTGAGGTCAAACATGATACCTGCATGTGGATACAAAGCTATAATAGCTAAATTCTTAACTATCATTGTGATAAATATATAAATTTTTAATATGTTTGACCCTTATATCAATGGTTCTAAAAATACTTTTAGAAAATAGTTTGTTTTTTTTTTTTATGTTATAAAATCTTAAATTTTTTTTAGTCTCTCTTAAGATATTTTATCTGTTACCCTTTTTTTCAACTACCACATAGCACCCACCTTTTAAGTTAATGAGACCTTTCTTAAAGTTAAGAAATCTGACATGTCCAATGTTTTTTGCTAAGGCTATTTTTAAAAAAGCCAAAATGGTACAAATATCTGTTAATGTACCCTTAAGGACATTGAAACTAAAAAAAAAAAAGGCCTATCCTGACTGCTTAAATGAGAATTTTAGATGGCAGAGGGCCTTTTTCTTAATTTTTTCACAAAGACATTGGTTTAACAGAGATCTCTTGAATGGAATTACAGTATAACCTCGTTAATTCGACACACGCAAATTTGACACCCTACCTTAATTCGACCATATTCTGATGTCCCGACCTCCGCCTATCAAATAACAAACCGTAATTCGACAGTATCGATAATACGACAGTTCCGATAGTTCGACCATTTTAAAATTCAAATTTCGATAGATGAATGTTTTTTTACATACAACTTTACCGCTAAAATGATATTACGGCAGTGACGATCGGCGGGCGCCGATAGAATCGCGCCGCGCACTTTTGGTTTCAGTTTAAGAGTCACTTTGCATTCCAGTTGCGCAATGTCACAAGTGTTATTGTTTTTTTTTGTTTTTTTTTTTTATGCGGGAATTAGGCTTCGTGCGCTAATTAATATTATTTTCTTTTTAATTTTCGGCATTGAAATATTTTAGTTATTTTAAAATTTACAAATAATTTCCTTTTAAATAAATAAATCTTCATAAAATATGTAGCCACAATGATTATGATAACATTTCATTTCAATATTCCATTTCTGTGTTATTATAAAAAGATTTAAACACAAAATCAATAACACCTGCAGCAACAGTAGATGCCTTTAATACAATAAAAACACTTTGTTATTTAAAACACATTATAGAGGAAGAAAGACATGCATGTTTTTTTTAAATAGACCATCGGGAATACATCCTGAATAGGATTTCAGTGCAAAAACAGATATCTATTAAGGAATTTTTAAAAAGATCTCCATGATTATTTTAAAATTATATTTTTTAATTTTATTTTTATTTTCCTTATTTATTTCCTTTCAACTGCTATATTCTTCAATTATAATAAAATATTATTTGTAATTATTTATGTTTCAAAAATATGTATTATTACCATTTTGTCCCTGATACTAAAAGTTAATCATGAAAATAAAAAAATAAATACAAAAAAGTACATACAATGGTTTAAATTAATATCATTAATTTATATTACAAAGCAATTTTTTTTTAAATATTATTTTAGCAAGTTAGATGATTAGCTAATCATCTAACCTTAATTCAACACTTCCTTTAATTCAACCGAAAGCTCTGATCCCTTGGGGTGTTGAATTAAAGAGGTTCGACTGTTTTTTTTTTTCTTTTTCTTATCCCTAATGTCACCAAATATTTCTGTTGAATGTGTGAAGTGTGGCTTTTTCATAGCGGACCACATTTTCTTGTTAACCTCAATACAACAACAACAACAACAACAAAAAGCTTTATTAAGACAATTCAGTCTTACACGGATTCTCCAAGCACAGAAATGTAGGATACATACAAGAATAGCAGTATTAACAACAACAAAAGTCCCTGTTATGACCCTTTGGTCTTATACAACTTTTCCAAGTAGAAGAAGGTATATACAGGAATAACAGCAATAGTTACAATAATTAGCAATGCTATTTACAACGTGTCAAGGGAGAGAGAAGCAAGAAAGGGCTTGCTGGGGAACTAGAGTATTATCATGGGTAGATGTTATTATATCTCTTGAGGAAAGATATAACAATAAATGTTTTTTTTTTTTGGTCATTAGTTAAATTTGAAAAAAAAAATCAATGTTTATTTATACAGTCAAACCTCTTTAATTTGACACCCCAAGGGATCTGGTTGAATTAAAGTAAGTGATTTCATCACAACATTCACTGCTAGTGGACATAGGATAACTAAATATATAATTAAAATAATAATTTCAGAAAATACTGTTGTAATATATTTTAATTAATAATGTCCTCTTCTTTCTTATCTCCACTCAATCACACTAAGGTATCAAGCTTGTAAAGCTTGAGATTTTTGATGGTGTCTGCCGGGGAAGAGTAGAGCTCATCAATGGATGAGTCAATACAGTCAATAATATGTCTTGGGGTTGCAGGCTGAAAATTGCACTTAGTACATAGTGGGAAAACCTTGCAACCATTCTGGAAAGTCATTGTCCGTAGATGACCAGATTTAAGTCAAGAAATCAAAGACTGTTGTTCTCTTGGAGGACAGAACCAGTGCTTGTCCCTCCTGCTCTAATTAATAATGTGAATTGTGTGATACCATTGGGACTTTTTTTTTCAGAATATTTCAGGTTCAACTTTTAGCAATTGTTAAAATTGCTTTAATACATTTTGAACAAAGGAAAAATTATAAATATTATTTCAATCTATGTCGATAAATGCAATGGGAAGAAAAAAAATCAAATTATAAAATGGAAAAAAGATTCAAATAATTTATTCTACTCTTTAAGACACCGTAGTTAGCACCCGGTTAAGTTAGGCCTAAATCGTTGAATAAACAATTGCATGTTAATGTGTCAGCGCCTTTTGCGACACATTATAACACTTTTGAAACATGGTACGTATACACCAACTATGATCTCTGTGTCCCACATGCCAAAGTAAGGTATTTTTAGCAATAAATTTGTATTTTAACAAGAATTATCTAATGTCAAAATTTGACGTTAAAAATCTGTCAAATCATCGATAGTGCCGAATTATCGTTTGGGCCAAATTAACGTTTACTATTTGGTAAGCTAGAGGTCGGGGCCTGAAAATATGGTGGAATTATAGGATGTCGAATTAACGGGGTTAGACTGTAGATACATTCCATTTGTTACAGGGATTTACTGCCATTTACTGATCTACCAAGTATCATCCTGAATCAAAAATGGGGATGCTGAGACAAGAATGACTGACCCACCTACCAACATGTAGTTCTTGGGGAAGGCATTGGTGTCTGAGGAGAAG